GATCTTGTACCATCCCCCATATCCGCATCAAACAACGACGTCCTGAGGACAGTATCCACAACCTCGAAGCACTGATTTTTATAGCATGTCCTAACAACGTCACTGCGACCACATCCACAAATGAATGAATCCATATCACGCCCGAAAATCGTCCACCCCGTCCACAACCACGAACGTACGGTTATTTGCAGCACAAGGCGCTTGGGGTGTTTGCCTTGGGGTTTGGTGCCTAACTGCATGAACAGTTGAGGGTTATGTTGGTTTTCGGCATGGGGGGCGGAAAGGCACTTGTAGCTTCAACGCTCGCTCATCTCTGAGGATTGAGACAGTGGAGCTCGGAATGAATTCTGTACATTCTGCCGTAGGGCAACCAACCCCCTGAAGTCTGCATTGCAGTCAGGATCCATGCGGCCGGCAATGTGCATGCTTTTGATGCGTCCACCTCGATGCCGAGGAGCTTCACTTGCATTGCTTTCCAGTGTGCATTAAGTCTTGGCTGCTTGCAGCTCAGTCGTGGCTTCAGCTGGATAGCAAGGATTTCACGCTCCCCAGAAACCTGGCCATCGCCTCGGAAAGCCCTCACTCAGCAAGACGTGCAAGACTCATACACCGTATAAGCCTGGATCTGTTCTTGCAGTGCCATGGGACAGAGGCAGTGCGTGCATGCCAGCAACAAGCCGCAAGTCATCGCAAATCGTATCCCTTTAAGGTCCTGGAGATCGCTGCCCTGCTCTTCCCTCTGCGCCTCACTCCTCAGCCCTCGGCCTCTCGAGTCAGAGTCTTCTGGGTCCGTCTCTGTGTGAGGTCACTGCGCCCTTGCAAGCTGCCAGACGTTGCCCAAAAGAGTGTGCTCGAACCCAAGGACAGCAGTCTGAGGGCCGTCTGAGCATCTGAGTGTAGTTCTCTGAAGCAGCTCGCGTCCATGCCCATCAATCAGGGGACTTGCTGCCGAAAACTTGCTTACACCACACAGGCAGCACTCTGGTAGTTTTCTGCGGCTAGAACGCCGCAAGCTGGTTAAGATCGGCGAGACACTAGAGTGTACTGTGGACGCGTCACCAAAAAGCTCAGGATGTGGCAACCAGCTCGTCCAAGCTGCGTGGTCGAGCTGCTGCTCGTGCCAATTGCCGTCTGTCTCCTGTGCTTGCTGTGGCCACGGCTAACATGGGATGAAAGGAAGTGCAGTCTTGCTCAGGTTATCGATCATGCCGTGCCGACAGCGACTGCGAGGATGGCGCAGTTTGAAGACGAGGGACCCGCAGTTTGCTTTGCAACAGTGGTAATCCCTGCAGGGCCCTTGCCGTCCTAGCGCCATCGGCCGTTCGTATTGGCGACGGCTTCCAGGCTTCCGGTCTGAGAAACCGAGAGCAGGCCAGCAGAGAGGGTTATCGGGGAGTGATGGGAGTCTTGAAATGCCTTCGAAGAGCCGAATTTGCGGACACAGGTCGGTGGCCTCACTCCAAGGGCTGCAGTGGCCGCTCTGCTCGACTCGTCAATATCCAAACTTGAACGATCGTGGTGTGTCGTCAGGAATGGGCTTCTGAGCAAGGCAGTGCTCTTGCCCTTTCCTGGGCTGTGCCACAGCAGCAAAGCCTGAGCACGTTTCACCCAGTTCTTTCGCTGGGCTATGGGCTCAGGAAAGCTTCCTGACAGCGGCTGAGTCTGTTGGCCAGCAGGCGAGTCCCCCAGTCAAGCCGGCAAGAGCACGCGAGGTCAGCTGAAACAAGCACGCCGCAGAAGAGCCCAAGGTGGCTTCCCACTTTGGCAAAAAATTGCTGAACTCCTCGGCCCCTTTGGATGAAGAAGGCCGGGAAAGGGCCGCCACGAGCTTCCCACGACGTACTACAACAGATACTTGTAACTTATAACTCATGATCTTCTACTCTCCTAGTGCCTCCAACTTATACCGACGTGGATCTTTCGTTGGAGCATCAGGCGTTGGGGGTTAGCCGGCACTGTTGCAGGGTTGATGCTGTGCGGCAAGCATGAACCTCCCTGCTGATAGAAAAACCAGACGGGCATGGGGCTTATACCTAGAGGACCCAGACCTGGTTACCACGTAGCCGTACTTGCTGCACACACTACATAGATTGTAGTGGTGCAACTTCACGATTCCAGCATGAGCCTGACTTGACGTCTATGGGGAGTTGTTGAGAAGTCAGGAATTGCAGGGGGCCTGAGTGGGTCCACAACGGGTAGCCCAGAAGCCCACGCATCTCTCAACTGCCTCGGGGATCGAGGTGGAGAGTTGGCCCCAAAAGGGTGGTTGATGGGAACAGACCCGCCCTCTCAGGTCTCTACTTCGATTTCGTGCACCTCGTCTGCCGATTTTCGCAGGAGGAAAGTCAGGCTCAGGAGGCCCCGGAGGAGTTTGAGGAGCCGCTTGGGCAGCACACTTTGCCAAGCAGAAAAGCGCGCAAGTCTAAGGCCTAGGTCAGCGAAGCTTGTGATAATTCAGTGCATCCGTCTTGCAGGCAGGATTAGCGGACACTGAGATAGGCGACTTTGATCTTGAGCCAACCAGTGCGCCTCCTTTACGCCATTGTTCGTTCATGTTCGTTCGTAAAGACAGGAACGAAGGCTGTTTTTGCCAGAAAAGCTGGTTCGCCACTGATGCCTTGTCCCGTTGTCAGCGGGTTGCAGGGTACAGCAATTGGGTTGGGACACAGTCTTTGTCGTGCAGACGTCAACCCCCAACCATGGGGTCCTCTACCGACAGTGTTGTCCGTTTAAGCAGAAAACATGCTAAGGTCGCACATCGGCAAGAGCCAGAGCAAGTTTTCACACGGATTCGTTGTGTTAGGTTCTCAGGCTACATCCCGGCCAATGCCAAAGACCTCTTCAACCAAGAGCTTACACTCGAAAAGGCGAAGGTCCGGGCAAGCTTCTTCGAGCTTGTACCTTGTAGCATTGTAGCCGTTAAAAGCCAATGGGATGCGCGAATGGCGGATCTCATTGGTGTGCTCTTCAGCTACCCCTTGAGCACCGAGAGGCCGCCTGCAGCGCTGCTCTCGAATGTGAAGCTTTCACCTTCCAGGCCGGCGCAAAGCCGGAAGAGCCCAGGATGGTGCTGCTTGGCACAGAGATCTCTGGAGCAGTGTTGTGATAGTTGTGATTTCAACTTCATTTCGTAAACTGTCAGGTATTTCAAAGCTCAGTGCCTCGACTTCCAGAGCGCCCTTGCCTCCCATCGTCGGCTTTTCTGACAGACTGACTGAGACTACGAGGTGGGACCTTGCAGGCACCGGTTGGAGATCGTTTCGACGTTCACCAAGAGCCTCCTCCTTGGCCTTGACTTGTGCGGAGAGGGTTAGTCCCTCACACAGACACCCGAGCTCGGCGAGGCAAAGGAGGCAGATGCTCATGCAGCGCATGGCGACAACTGCTTCGAAGAGGACGGGCGAGTTCGACGTGCTATGCCAATGCTTCTTGAACTAAGTTACATGAACTGTTGGCTGTCTGAACTCCGACATCAGGGTGCCTTCTGTGTGAGAAAGAAGCCCTTCTACTATTGGCGAAGCCATGCTGCTGCGCCATGGCCTGTTGGCTTGATTTGCATTGATTTGCCAGAGTTACGAAGCCCACAAATCCATTGCCCGCCAACGACTCTTCACCATTTTGTTCATGCAGTTGTCGGCCAGCTGAGAGGTTTCGTAGCGAGGGACTGGTGTGATCGAGGTGCTTTTCCTCCACGGTCCCGAGTCCGGTGACTTTCAGGCTCGGAGCAGCAGACCGATGGACTTGGGATATCAGCGTGAAGCCCCTGTCTGCATGGTGCAAGCTTAGACAGGGAGGCGACTTCTTCTACGCACCTTCCTTCAGAAGTCCGCCAGAGCTGCGAGTGCACGTTCAGCCTGCACCCGGGAAGCTTGGCTGAAAGGTCTTGATGGCAGGCCTGTCGCTTCTGTTGGACAGCACTGCACGATTTGGAACTTGGCATCCACCATCGGCTTGGTAATCCATGTGCTGCAAAAGCAATCTGCAAGGAGAGCAGTGACATTTCGGGCAGGCGGAATGTAGTTCGACAGATCGAGTTGTCTGTCATCCGACAACATGTTGCGTTCAGGTGCAGAGAATATCCACGGTGTGGAAAAGGCCGCTGCAGTACAGGCGCCCAGTTGTGGCGTCACGATCGACATGACTTCAGGTCTCGTCTGGTACACGCTGCACGCTTAACCACTGGCTGACACCAAATGCGTTTCAAGCCGCACACAGCTGCTTGCATGCAGAGATCACAGGATGGATGAGAAGCTGGGATGCTCTTGACCGTTGCTCGCGCTTCATGTCCTGTCTGACTGAGAATCCGAGCTGGAAGATGCACGGAAGCTGTTGCTGCGCTACAAGCCGAAGGCTGAGGTGGGGTCCCTCAACATGTTTGCAACGTTAAGACATTTTTCTGTGCTGCGTATCGTGCCTTATGTGCTGCATGCCACATCAGGAGCTCTGAACCGAGATTGCCGCGTTGATGCCCTCGCGGAAGACATCGGAAAGCAAGCTTGGAAGTTGGATGCACATGGCCGTCCTTTCGATCCACGCCATTCTGGCGTGGACTGACTGGGCATCCGTGCCGAACCCGTCTGTGGCGTGGGCTACAGAACTCCTCTGGCGCTGGTGGGTTGTCTTTGCCTATACGGCTGGGGCCCATGGCGTTGACCGCCACTAGCCTGCAATGTTCGCTTTGTGCGTGAGCCAGATGGGAGACAGTGAGAATCTCGTGAAGTTTGAAATCCGATGGCCTGCATGCTCATCGATCTGACTTCAAAGCGAGTGTCCGGTGGCAGAACTTGCCTGACCGGTCCGAGAGCCCGTGCGTGCTTCGTTGATTGGGGACCGGAGCTTTCCGTCGCCTCCACCTGCCTTCCCTTCCGCTGCACAGAGCCTGCTTGAGAGCAGTGCTGCCGAAGCTGTCCCGGCCGGGTGTTCCAAATCTTGCTGAGTGAGCACGCACGCGTGCATTTGCCCTCATGGCAGCCGCTACAATCGAAACTGATGATGACCAAGCGCACAAGCGCATGTAGTTTTTACAAGCGGTCAGGCTGCGATGACAAAATTATTACGAGTTCTTCTTTGCCGCAACTCAAGAATACAACATGTGCTCAGGCATGCTCAGTTCAGTTTGATCCTAACTTTGATCTGCACATCATTAAAGATCTCGAAGTCCATGCGGTCCATGCATATCCCCGGAAAGGCGCAACTGGCCTATCTGAAGCCGTTTCAGATTGCTGCGCGCTTAGAGATGTGCTCGAGCAGTTTGGATAAGCGCGGCAGAACTACCCAGGCCTTGCTGGCCAGTTCGGCGGCGTGGGAGGCCCAGCTGTCGCTGGCGATCGTAGGCGTGATTGAGCACAGCTTGAGCACTATGCGATCCCACGAGCCCAAGGCATTTCCGCCTCCGGGAGCCCAAGCTTCTCGTTCGACTCGGGCAGTCTGTCGGGCCTCGAACTCGAAACCCAGCCAGAGACAGTTGTTGTTTCCTGCGAGCACCCGACAAGCATGTCTCTTTCCCGCAATGTCCCGAAGATTCGAAGGTCGAACCTGGACTCTTTCAGCATGCAGCAGGCTGGCCCTGCTCGGGGTCGTGCGTGAGTCCGAGCATGAATGTCAGAATGTAGATAATTACAGCAGATTTTGCAGACTTGAGCTTCCGGGAGGTTGGCATCGTTGCAGAAGCCTTCGATGTCGTGGGGCATCACCATCGTAAGTTGGTAGGCACCATGCCGAGAGTTCACTTGCTTCGCTGCAATTGCGACTTCAAGCTTCCATCGACTCTTCTCGTATCTTCTCGTGTTGTGTTTCGAACTGCAGGGATGTCACCTGAATGCAACAGCAGACCGCTTTCCCGAGTGGGCAGGATACATCGAGCAGATCCTGCTAAAGGCGCAGGAGGCACCGGTGGGAGGGCAAGAGCCCACAAGACAGCAGGCACATCAGTCCACCCAGGGAAAATCAGAGCATTGGGCAATGCTCCGCGAAGTAGACCAGCCGTTCCTGTTTCAATCCCGAAATGGTATATGTCGCAGCTTCTCGCAGTTGATCTGACGAAGACACTTTAGGTGCAATGCTAATTTGACATGGTGCAGGAAGGCGCAGAGGCACGGCCAGGCAAGGAGGGCCGTGTGAGGGTACCTGCATCAATTCTGCATGCATGACGGGCTCATAGTGAAATAAGTTAGCAGAACCCTTGCCCATTTTGGGTAATAATACTGTTGATGGACAAAATTCTGCCCGACCCAAGTATAGTATAGTACCATAAATCCCTTAGTTTAGGTATATAAGGTCATGCAGGATTTTGTCCATCAACAGTACCACCAGTCATCCCATGTTCGGGCAATTGGTGAAACACTTGCCATACTAGAAACATAGATCGCTGGAATAGCTGGGGGTTTAACTCAGAGCCCAAAGGTCATTTCATTTGCGCCGCGAGCCGGTTCAAATGCACAAGCAAAGTAGTTTGGCAGCACGCCATGGTAAATCGAGTCGTGAACGATGGTCATCAGTTGGCTCTAAGCATGAGGAGCTATGCATCGAACCCCACACCTTGCAGCAGTGGTGGCAGATACACATCCGTAGCAGAGGCTGCTGCACAACAGAACACTGCAGCAGTCATTGACATGCTGTCGCAAGGATACGAGGCAGATGGTCAGGACTCCGACGGCAACACAGCTCTCCACTATACTGTGTTGTTCAGACTGGACTCACTACTGGACCCATTGCTGGAAAGAGGAGCGCGACCAAACGTTGGCAACAATTCCGGAGAATGCGCGGTACATTGGGCGGCGAACTCTGGTAACGTCAGGGCCTTGGACAAGATGACGAAAACCAATCGAGCCCTGCTCTCGATGCGTGACTGTGACGGCTTCACGGCCTTCATCGTGGCCGCACAGATGGACAACTATCTCGTTATGGAGTGGTTGTACCTCAAAGGCATCAGCCTGGAGGAGCAGGATGACTGTGGAAGAACTGCCCTGCAGTGGGCATGCTACAAAGGGAACAAGAAGACAGTGCACTGGTTGCTGTCACGATCTGCCAGCATTGCTCACCGAGACCGAGAAGGCATGACTGCACTTCACTGGGCAGTACTGCAAGGACACACGCAGGTCGTCGAAATGCTCATGGAAGTCGGGGCGGTGGGCCTCATAGACGTCCCAGATTGCACCGGCGAAACCCCGATCGCACTCGCAACGAGGAAAAAGAACAGGTGCTTGGTGGTTGCCTTCCACAAGTGCCAGATCTTTGATTTCCTGTTCGGCAGGCCACATGTTTTCCAGAATCTCATGCCAAGTGCCTTCCTGTTTTTCGTTGCCTACCACATCATCATCTTCGCCCTTATCATAGCACCAGGAATCGCGGCCATAACTCCTGAAGCCGTTACGCACTGGTCGATGCTGATGGGTTTGTCGCTGCTGCTCTGGGTGCAGTGCCTCTTCTCGGATCCGGGTTGGCTCCAACCACGCACCATCCCCTCACAGAGCCATCTGCTTGGTAGCTTGGTTCTCCAATTGGGTTTCGGGTTTAGGGTTTATAGCCAACCTTTAAACCGTTCGGGTTCTTGCAATTTAGTAGCAATCTGAAAGTTTAACCTTTGATTTGCCTGGCTTCTTGGGGAAGTAAGGTAGGGATCCAGCGCGGACGTTTGACGTTGATCAGCCGATCGAGTCGCAGATGGCTCCTGGATTCCCCAGTAGCACCCTTTTGCCGTTTTTCTTTTTGGAGTACCCTTTGCCCTTTGTCTTTTTTGGAGGTTCCCTATTAACGCCAAAGAGTAGGACAAAGGGGACCCTTTCTTATCATGAAGGGGCTACTGGGGAACTAAACCCTAGCCCTTATTATGAAGGGGCTTCTGGGGAACGAAACTCGAAACCGTATAAACCCTAAACCCTAGAGCATTTTCAGGTGGGTTGTTACCGTTATAGGAGCCTTATAGCAGGTCTATATACCTTATAGAAGCCTTATAGAAGCGCTATGTACCCTAAACTCCCGACCTGTAGTTTCCTTTAATCAGGGGTTTCTGGGGAACCTAGGCTCACTGCGACAGCCTACTTCAGAAGCTAAGCTTGGCTGGTGACGGAGATGGAGAGGCCGTGGAGCTCCCTGGGCTCTTGTTACGGAGTTTTGGGGTTTCTGGGGCTCGGGTTCAGGGTAGTTTAGGGGTTTAGGGTTTATAGCGGTTTAGGGTTTAGGGTTTAGGGTGTAGAGGTTTAGGGGTTCGGGTTATAGCGGTTTAGGGTTTAGGGTTTAGGGGTTTAGGGTTTAGGGGCTAAGGAACTTAATGTGGGTAGCTTTCAAAATTAGGGTCCCTGTTAGGGTTCTTCTTACCAGGGTACCGCACTATTTTGAGGACCTGAAACGGGACCCTGATTTAGAGGACTACCCATGCAACCCTGAGGGTCCATGTGCCCATATAGTAGATACTTGGGCCCTAAAATCCCTAAAGTATGTAAGTAGGGACTAGATGAAGGCCAAAGTATGTACTATATGGGTACATGGACCCTCAGGGTAAGTTGCGAATAAAAGGATCTACGTATAGTAAATGATATGGCTTCTTTGTTATGGTAACTCAAATTAACTTCCCTAAACCCTAAAAGAGCCCAGGCTTAGGAAGTTGGAGCTGGAGCAGGGCCCAGCTGGAGCGGGCAACAGCGACTCGACACGGGCTACAGGAGACAGCTTGCGCCGAGCTCGGGTGGAACACCTCCTGGCGGAAGGTTGCGGCGAGTATCTCACATTGGTGGAGAACGGAGACTTCAAGCAGGTCTGCGTATTCTGCCGCATAGTACGCAGCATGCGCTCGCATCATTGCAAAGAGCAAGGTCGGTGCGTCGAGAGGATGGACCACTACTGTCCCTGGATAGACAACAGTGTGGGTTTGGGCAATCAGCGGTCATTCCTGTTGTTCATCGTGGTGCTTCTTGCCACCATCTTCTACTTCTACTACACGGTCTTCCTCTACGCTTTTGACAGGGTGTTTCCCGACATTTCCCGAGGCTCCTTCAGTGAGCTTCTAGAAGCCTTGACAAATGGATCCCTTGGGCCCGAGTTGCAACCGATTCTGGTTCTGACAACAGCGGCGTTGGACCTCTTCTTTGTGCTCTTCGTAGGTTCGCTCGTAGCCAGAACCACGGCTTTCATGATGGTCAACTTGACGACATTCGAATTCTCGCGCAGACCCAGCCACGTGCTCCAACGCTTTCGCAAGGCCAGGGGGCAAACCCTAAACCCTAAACCCTACAAACCTTAAACCCTAAACCCTATAAACCTTAAACCCAAAACCCTATAAACTTAAATCCCTATAAACCTTAAAGCCTTAAACCCTAAACCCTATAAACCTTAAACCTTAACCCCTAAACCCGCCGCAAGGCCAGGGGGCAGTGGTGGTGGTTCCATGGCTGGGGCTTCCGATCTGCCACAGGGCAGGCAGTTGGAAGACTTTCTCTTCAGGGTTTATAGGGTTTAAGGTTTAGGTTTTGGGGTTTATAGGGTTGAAGGTTTATGGGGTTTAGGGCTTAAGGTTTAAGGTTTAAAGGTCCATGTGCCTAAATATGGCATATACTTTGGCCGTAAGGTAGTCCCGATTTAGGTACTTTCGGGCCCAAGTATCTACCAGTTGGGTACCTGGCCCCTTTAGGGGTTACGGGAGGGTTTACGATGACAAGCTTACTTGGGTGTTGTTCAAGGCTTTCAGGGCCCAGCCGAGGCTCTAGTCAACATCATGAGTTTCTGGACACTGGACACCAGCGGTGATGCAGCTGCTTTTCTTGGAAGTCCTCGAAACCGCTGGATCGCTCCAGGAAAGGCTGCAGGGAGCAACTTGGAAGAAGGCAGACTTGCTTACTTGCCCGAAGAGCCCTGAGAGTTGGCGGTGATCGCATGCATCTGGTGCTCAAAAGAGATGATGCGATGCAATCTGAAAGAGTGCAAGCGGCTTGACATCAAAAGCAACAGTGCAGCATGGAGCTCAGGGTTTCTGTTGAGTTAGGGTTTAGGGCTTAGGGTTTGGGTTGAATGGTTGCTCGCACTCGATGTCGGCTGACAGTGCCCATTGTGAGAGTCGACACCCTGTAAGCCCGGAAGTATGTTCGCCAAAAGCTGTTCAGAAGCCGGTGGGCCTTAGATGAATGCCCTTAACCTGAAGGCCTTAAGGGCAAAAGCCACATCCCACTCCGTTATACAAAAGACCTGCGAGTTCCAGCCAATCCCTGGCCTACCCTTTAAACCTAAACCCCTAAACCGCCTCAACCCCTCAAGCCCTACTATGTAGGTGTGTTAAGTCGTCCCGCGTTGTGTAAAGTCGACCCGCAGCGGCGTGACCTTGGGGATTCCCACTGAAAACAGATATGCACCCCAGCCTGGAGACATGCTTAGTGGTCAGCCCGTGGCGGTGTGAACATGGGGATTCCTGTTGAACGCATATGTCGATTCCATGCCTGGAGATATGCAAAACGGTCAACCCGCGGCAGTGTGAACGTGGGGGATTCTCAATGAAAGCATATACCTCGACCCAGCTGGGCCATATGCAAGAACCATGAAACTAAACATTGTCCCGACGTTGTTGTTTGGCTGACGTACTAGCGGTAGGCTTAAGTCGTCCCTGCCGGGGCGAAGTTGTCCCAACCCCATGTGCCGCAGGGTTTGGGCTACTTCACAATATCTCTATCATATGTTGTTTCCCATCCAGTCTCTAATTTCTGCGCGATCCAGTCCGGTGCGCGGTATTTCCTTGAGCTTGGATATGTTGCGATGCCACTTGTGTCTCGAGTTGGTGCTTGCGTAATCGAGCGTCTACACGGGGAATGGCTGGTTTTGATTTGCTGCTTGCTGCGATGCCACTAATGTGTTTCTTGAGTGACTGCTTGCAAAATCGAGCGTCTACATGGGAATTCGCTGGTTTTGACTTGCTGCCGCTGAAGTGTTTCTTGAGCGGGTGCTTGCGAAATCGAGCGAGCCTCTGCAGCGGAAATGACTGGTTTTGATTTGCTGCTTGCTGCGATGCCGCTGCGGCGTTCCTTGCTTAGGTGCTTGCGAAATCGATCGTCTACATGGGGAATGGCTGGTTCTGATGTGTTGTGTTGCCACTGATGTGTGTCTCGAGCCGGTGGTTGTGGAATCGAGTGTCTACATGGAGATTGGCAGGGTGCTGGGCGCACAGATCCAGTCGTTTTCGAGGTGCGGCGCTGGTCCTCCTGTTTATAAACTCTTGCTATCCGAAACAGTCTCGGTCAGTTTGTTTGGCTGGAGGCGCACACCTACCTCCACCTCCGCACACATGTGCGCACACATTCACACTGTCTTGCCCTTGAGCTTGTGAACCGAGTGTCAACATCGGGATTGGCTGGTTTTGTCACCCGTCGAGAAGTGTGCCGGATATCAAGCAGGTGCTTCTCAAATCGAGCGTCTACATGGGGAATAGCTGTTTGTGTGGGTTGCAGGTTGCTGAGCTTCGTTGCTTTAGGGCTTCAGTCAGTTTTTTGTGGAGAGTACCACGTTTCGTGTTGATCATGCGCATCGGGCAGTGCTTTTGAATCCTGGCGTGTACTTGGGGATTCAGTATTTTTGACTTTGTTTCGTTGCTTTGTGGCTTCAGTTTTGCGTGGAGAGTTTTACATGTCGTGCTGATGTTGTGCATCGGGCCGTGCTTTTGAATCCTGGCGTGTTCTCCCAGAACATTTCACTTCGATTCGTTGCTCCAAGGCTTTAGTGTTTGTTTTGTATCGATTTTGCACATCGGGCCATCCCCTCGAAACCTGGCGTGTACTTGGGGATTCCCAGGTCTTTTCACTTCGATTCGTTGCTCCATGGCTTTAGTGTTTGTTTTGTATCGATGTTGCACATCGGGCCATCCCCTCGAAATCTGGCGTGTACTTGGGGATTCCCAGATCTTTTCACTTCGATTCGTTGCTCCATTGCTTCAGCTTTTGGTGGAGAGTGTCGCATTTCGTATCGATTTTGCACATCGGGCCATCCCCTTGAAACCCAGCGTGTACTTGGGGATTCCCAGATCTTTTCACTTCGATTCGTTGCTCTTTGGCTTCAGTTTTTGTGGAGAGTGTCGCACTGCGTATCGATTTTGCACATCGCGCCATCCCCTTGCGTGTACTTTTGGATTCCTAATATATGGGTCGACTTTTTGCGGGTGGGTCGACTTCACACGAATCGAGGCGTGTACATGGGGGTGGGTCGACTTCACGCGGGATGGGTCGACTTAAGCCTGGCGCCCTGTATGCGTAATTTTGTGAAACGGTTAGCGTATGCAGTATGCATAAGCATCCCATTAAGAGTGTGCTAATGGTGAAGTAGTTTTATCATAATGGAAGAGTCATGATAATGTTGTAAGTCTTCATAGTATGACAATATATGTTGACAATATAAACATTGATTGTAAAACTGTCCTTCTCATCGTGATAACCAGTGTGATGGATGTAAAAAATGGAAGAAGCTAGTGCATTTTCAACGATATTGCAAAACAACACCGTATAGAAAAAAATCATAGTAACTTGTTGTGAATGTTTAAAATTGAGTCAAAAGCATCCTCGCTCACGCTCTGTTTCAGCTTTTATGCACCGTTCTTTAAGTCTTTCGTTCGTCAGACCTAGACCCATTGCAAATGCACCACCTCAGTCGCACCCCGCCCATGGGAAGCCCGGAATTCTGGAGCCCCTTCGCGAGATGTCGGGACTGCTGCGATGGGCTGTGGTGGGCACGACAAGCGACACCACCGTAAAGCAGGAGCAGATCATTCCAAATTCGGGCTACGTTTTAGTGCAAGCACAAAACTGCCATCATGAAGGTGGAGCACGACGAAAATGACATGGTGTTGTCACTGGGAGATGATTGTCAGGAATGGAATCAAGCCCGCAAGGTGATGCAGCCAGCCGCCGCCGGCTTATCGCAGCGTTGCTGACTGCTGCAGCACAACAGGAGCTTTTGTTTACTTTAATGCGGCCGCAAAGGTGCGGTTCCAGCGAAAAGGAAAGATGTGCTTCCAATCACTGAGATACTGGCCCTGCCCTGGTCAGGAGAGTTTCGCTCGCCGTAGCCAAGCCAGGATGCAACACTTTGTGGAGGATTTCTAGTTCAACTCCGGTGACACGGCGTGGCATGGCAATGCATGTGAAGCACGGCATACTCTGCAGGAGCTCACAAACGAGCTGAAAGCATCTGCAGCTGGGCTGCACTTATGCAGCCTTGTCAGTGGAAGAGAGGGAGAGGGAGGACAGAAGTCAGCCGTAGCCAGGGGTACCAGAGCTCAGAACGCTAACCATTGGGGGTGGCGACTAGTGCACATGTTTATCCAACTATCCCTCACGGCTTGTCCATCAGCGAGCTCCTCGGCAGGCTCCGTTTGAGGATGCAGTGCCCAGGCGACCCCATGATCTGCTAAGACTGGTTGTTCGGAGGGGTGGACATGGTTTCGTGATGCATGTCTTATTAGCTTGCGCACGCCTGACATTCAACTTGTGCCGCCGCCTGTGCCAAGTCACAGTAGTATAGTAGGAGGATGAGTAGGAGGGTTCTTGATCTTTAACCGCTTGTGCTCGCCACATGCAGCAAGAAGGCAAGACAGCTACAACAAGCCTGAACAAACAGCCATTGTCGACACCCTAAGTTACTCAACTTTCGACACGTGAAGATTGCACTTCCCGCACTCGTTCCCCGGAGGGGTCCGAGGCGAAAGTAGTTGGAATCAGGAAGCTGCTTGGACGACGAGGGTGCGAAGTTCAAGCGAGACTTGCCACGTATGGCCCTTTCAAACCCTTGCAGCTTTCCGAGACCGGGTGCCGTAGCTCGCTGCTGTTGGTGCCATGCCGGTGAGGAGGCGTGGACAGAAGTTCTGCACTGAGAACAGGGCCGTGTTGGTGCGGCCAGCCTTGTTGCAGCAGGCCGGGAGGAAAGTATCGAGGTCCGGACCCAAGCATTGGAGCCAGGCAGATATTCCTTGCAGCCTTGGTGAGCTGAAGTGGTACGTCGGAGTCATGCAAACTCTCTTGGACCCTTTTGACTGAAGGCTTAATCGCTCGAAACAAGTCGGACGCTGAAGTCGCCAAAGAGGAGCTCGGCGTAGACTTGCTGCACGCTCCGAGTCACCTGCACTTAATCCTGCCGCATGAGCACAGGCTGCATGGAAGGCTTAGTCAGCGCCCCTTGAGTTTGCATTCGGAAAGCCGGCGAAGGCGCGTGATCGTCTTCGACGTGCTACGGAGGCCCAGTTTCTGTGAGGGCTCCACTCTTCACAGATGGTTT